GATATTTGTGGGGAATGGGGACCGGACCAGACAAAAGACAGGGGGAAAATGGAGGGAAATGGGGGACAAGGAGTCCCCCACCCCCATGTTAAAAAAATATTGAAAAAAATGTGGAGACAAAAAAATTTGTGAAAATATGAATCCACAGGTGCATGCCGAACATAGCGTATGCAGTGGTCTAATATTCATTCATTCATTCATCTTCCGAACCGCTTGATCCTCACTAGGGTCGCGGGGGGTGTTGGAGCCTATCCCAGCTGTCTTCGGGCAGCAGGCGGGGGACACCCTGAATCGGTCGCCAGCCAATCGCAGGGCACACAGAGACGAACGACCAACCACGCTCACATTCACACCTAGGGACAACTTAGAGTGTTCAATCAGCCTACCATGCATGTTTTTGGAATGTGGGAGGAAACCGGAGTACCCGGAGAAAACCCACGCAGGCCCGGGGAGAACATGCAAACTCCACACAGGGAGGCCGGAGCTGGAATTGAACCCGGTACCTCTGCACTGTGAAGTCGACGTGCTAACCACTGGACTACCGGGCCGCCCGTGGTCTAATATATTTGATTAATTACGAAAGGTGTATGGAAAGCAAAATAAAAATATATCAAAGACAATGTAGCTGGAGGGGCGGCCCAGTGGTAGACAGCTTAGTGCGTGGGCCTCACAGTGCAGAGGTGTAGGGTTCGATTGCGGCTCCGGCCTTCCTGTGTGGAGTTTGCATGTTCTCTCCATGCCTGTGTGGGTTTTCTCCGGGTACTCTGGTTTCCTCCCATTCTAAAAACATGCATGGCAGGTTCATGGAACATTCTAAAATTGTGGTGTGAGTGTGAGCGCAGATGGTTGTTTGTCAATATGTGCCCTGCGATTGGCTAGCAACCGGTTCGGGGTGTCCCCCGCCTACTGCCCAAAGACAGCTGGGATAGGCTGAAGCACCCCCCCGCAACCCTTGTGAGGATAAAGCGGATCGGAAAATGGATGACTGGTTGGACAGTATATTGTAAACATTTTTGGATGAGTTACATTTGTTAACCATTAGAGCCGAATGAATTCAGTGGATATACTCCTTTTTCACTTCTGTTTTCAAAAGCAGTTTTAGTTCTGAGTTCATGTGTTTTAATTTCCCAACCAACTGTAAAGCGGTTCCAGCTGCATATAAAAAGAGGTAAAAAGGGAAACGTTTTTTTAATCCACTGAATTTAAATTAATTGGTCAAATTTGGATTGTTTTATTGCATTGCTTGTCCAAAACGTACAGAAATGCACCAGATCACAGGGCAGTTTGCGCGTGAACTTGCCCGACCTCTCAACATCTAATTCATGTCGCACGACAAGCAATCTGCTAATCTTGCACTGCAACACAAAGAAAAGCCATCTCCTTCTCCCCTCCTGGCTTGGCCCCCCCATCCCCAAGGGTAGTCGATGATGAGGGAAATGGAGAGTGGATTGCTGAGCAAGAAATGGAGAGGGGAGGTGATCGGTGGTGGAAAGCGAGAGAGAGAGAGAGAGAGAGAGAGAGAGAGAGAGAGAGAGAGAAACCGCAACAGACCATCTTAATGAAAAGCCTCTCATGGTGATGGAGAGATTGTTGGTTGAATGGGCCCCTGATTGGCCGAGCCGCAAAAGCATACATTCTAATTAATGTATTGGCAGGGTTGGGGTGAAAGGATGAAGATTAGATCTGCACCTCAGCTTAATGGACCTCAGCTTCTTCCAGCAGTATTCACACCATGGGTGGGCAAACCTTTGCAATCATCACATTTCATTTTTATAACGGACAGATGCCTGGCAATTTAGAATTTGAAGTAAAAATAATCATGGTTCAAATGTGTATGCAAAACAGATTATTTAATAATACAATAAAGGACTATGGATGGAAAGTGGCAGATTGGATGATTGACGGACAGACGGATCGGTGTAATTTACTGACAGAAGCAATGATGGAAGCTCCTTGAAAATAACATGATGGATTGACCGACTGGTGATTCCAGTTTTGTTTGTCCTGAAAAAAAATCACGGACCGACAATGACGGATGGGGGCCCAGGCCGCTGACTGATGACGAATGACGAACCGGCAAAATGTATATATATATATATATATATATATATATATAGAGAGAGAGAGAGAGAGAGAGAGAGAGAGAGAGAGAGAGAGAGATGGATAGATAATTTTGAATTGACTAACCAATTATTTATTTATATTAATATTATGTACTTGTAAAACAATGTATGCATATTAATGATATCAATTCTAATAATCTTTTTTTTTTTTTTGTAGGAAACAACTATGACACGATCCTTGATAATGAAAATGCCCCGTGGATCATATTAAAGAATGTAGTGGCTGTAGATGGCCTGAGGGCTATACGCATCATATTTACACGAATAATTGATTTAAATGGCGGATTCACTCAAATATACTGAATGAATCCACTGTGAATAATACTGTACTTTGTACAGTGTTCCTTAAACACAACGTCGTCTGAGTGAATACTTTTCTCACTACCTAGGGCATTGCATCTGGCTTTCTGCGGAATTGAAAACAGCAATTCAATTTGTCCAACGGTGTCTTCATGTTGCCTTTTACTAAACTGAATTCCATTGGTTTAGATTGAATGAGGCACAGTTCGCCCATTTATTTTCGAAGGCGCTTATCCTGTTGAGGGTCACAGTTGAACTGCAGATCATTTCAGCTGACTTTTACTTACAGGTGACAGGATACACTCTGGACTTGTCGCCAGTCAATTGCAGGGCACAGAAAGAAAAATATGAAATAATCTTTTTTTATCAAGCCTGTCCTTATTAGGGTCACTGGTGAGCTAGAGATGATATTGGCTGACTTCTGCTCAGAGAGGTGGCGTACACCGAGACTGGTTGCCAGTCAATCGTAAGGCACATAGAGCATAGACAAAAAAAATCCCATTCACAATTTAGAGTCTCCAATGGACCTAACATGCATGTTACTATAGATGGGTGGGCAATTCATTTTGCAAAGGAGCCAAATGAGAAACCCGAATGCTTGCCAAGGGCCAAACCCAACATGCTAACCTCAACTTCATCTATATACAATTTTTAATGTGTTTAAAAAAAAAAAAGAATATTGTCTTGTTTCAATAAATTGTGTATGCATATGGTATGTATTCTTATAATTAGGAAATAGATATTTTCAACAAAATTGTAAGTGGTCAATAAAATTACACCTTTAAACTTTAAAAATTATCACTTCAACTTTGTGCACCAACCACCAATTAATATTAGCCATTCCTAGTCAGGACTCCCAAATATAAAGGTAAGTAGAGACTATAATATTGTTGATAGTGATGTACAATGATACAGTGATAACAAACCCATTACATACAGAATATGAAATTGTACATTTGCATACAGTAGCATTAGGCCAAATGTTCTTGACTGTCTTTCCTCCACTATGCAGAAAATAAAAATATTACAAACATTTCTGACCACTGTTGTCATTTTTGCAAGTCGCTTTTTTGGAAAAAATAGTTGTGAAGGGGTTTGAAAAAATTGCTAAATATAGCAAAAACTCTGCTGGCACAACGTGTAGCTTTTGCTTGCTAGCCCGCTTGTACTCGCGTCCACACGTATGCACTTAAAATAAAATACTGTTTTCATGTTTACTTTTGAGTTCATGGTCACTTTGAGGGCCGTTCAGAAATTGTGGGCTGGACTGTTATGATCCCAGGGGCATACTTTGCCCAGGTCTGTCCTATAGGATTCTTAAGTGTGTCGAAGGAGTTACGCAGGGCTCCATTTCAAAGCCCTTGATGGTGTTGAACTATTATCATGTTTGTCGCATAATTTTCTATTTTCTATACGGCTTATAAATATTAGGGTTGTGGGTGAGCTGGAGACAATCCCAGATGACCCTCAAGGTGGAGTGTGTACACCTTGGGATGGGCGCCAGTCCATCGCAGGGCACATATAGAATAGGATCCATCCATGCATTTTTAATAGTGCTTGACCTCATTAGGGTCGCAGGTGAGGCGAAGTCTATCCGAGCTGACTTTTAAAGACTAGTGGTATACACATTGGAATGGTCGGCAATAAATTGCAGGCAAGCTTATCAGTGGCATCAGGTAAAAACACAGGAGGACACGCTGGCTTATCGACACAACTCATCAGGATTTCCACTAAAGGAAGTGTCTGGTGTACCAGACAGAAACGTCTAAAGTTGCCATTGGGTTCAAGGTGAGGACGATGCCGGTGGAGTGAAAGTGCGGCCCGTAGGAATTGACATGTGACAAGGAAGGAAAACATTGTAGGGGACGCTGATGAAGCACCTGGGCAGACACCACGGGTCAAAGGCGGCGGAAAAACTGTCAAGCTGTCAACATTGCAGAAAGCAGGAAGCAAGTCCAAACCAAGTTCCGCCTCCGATGATCCAAGCTCTTCGTTATGCGCCTTGTTATCTTGCTTTGCCACCGTGGCTAAAAATGCATCCGGCGAACAAGTCCCTGAGAAGCAAACTCCTTCCTGACAGAAATCGTGCTGGATAATGTGATGGCGACTCATTAGTGAGTGACATTTAAGATGCGACACGGGAAAACAAACCGGGGATTTAGAATGCCATTTGAAAGTGATTGATGGCTTCTAAACTAGGAGATTTTTTTTGTTCTTATCACTCGGTCGCTCAGCAGAGTTTCTTGAAAAGCATTCACTGGAAAAGCTGATCAAGATTCAATATCTGAAATCAAGGCAATATACAGTAATTTGCTTGTTCTTTGTCTGAAAAGGTATCTCTCAGAATTGGGCAGTTAATGTGTACGAGTGGTTCACTTGTAATTGTAGATGATTTCATCTGTCACAAAGTACATATAAAAAAATGTAATGTTTTCACATAGTGGATCTGGGATTTTTGTTTTCAGACATTATAGACAATAATAATGATTTTGGCGATCCTCGTTTTCATACTGTTTCATCTCTACTTCCAAGTACCATTAAACACAACCTTGTCAAACAAAGCGAAACTTGCGATACCTTGACTGGTTTCTTGCGGGATGACTCAGCTTCATTGTTCTCTGCCTCCTCATGCTCCTTGCTCCCTTGCGGCAGGTTGGAATAGTTGGCCAGGCTACTGAGCAGAGACGACACCATCGGACTGGTGTCCATTTCCTCCTATACATGCACAAACCAACACAATCATCATTGAACGCAGCCTTGAGGTTAAAGTATATTTATTCAAAGGGCATTTGCATTAAATATCGTACACATTAATAAAAATAATCAATGTCATATATGTTAATATATGCACCACGTGAGCTTGCAAATAGTAGGGGTTTTCTGGATGTTGGTAATATTATGCCCAAACCTAATTTTGCCTCGAACCCTCAATAGTCGCCATCTGTATTAAACACTGCCTTTCTTCTATCCAAAATGTCATATGGCAGGGACCATTTCAGGATATTTGTGCAGAGGTTTGTAACAAATTGCCTCCTTTACACGTTGATCCCTGCACTCGTGAGAGATTAGCTTGCATTAACCCGACGCTCCCACGCGGCCTTCGTGGTGTTGTTACCGACATCGATCAACCAGGGCCGCTGTTCAAAACGTGAGAAGGATCCTTTGCGCTGCCACGCGGGTATGCGGAGCTTTGTGCGGGTACCTCAAACAGGGCCATGTTCTTGCCATCATACTGCTGGCTCTTCTCCGCCGCCGCGTCGCTGCTGTTGATAAACGGGCTGCTCTCCTTGGGGTTATTGTCACCTGAAAGGAGAGAAGAAAACAGGAAGTCAAACAACATGACAGACGAGTTCAAGGAATGCTCACCAGGATACAGGTGGAGATGCCAAAGTGTCCACAGTTGGACTTTACAGGGAAAATGAATGCGGCTAATGAAGTGCGTGTATGCAATATGCTCAGTCTTACACAGTGCATTCAATGCACAGGCCCAAACTGCAGCATCACAATCAGTCTCTTGAAAGGGGCCACCATTATGCAAGGTGGCAGCTAAGTAATTTTTACAATTTAAAAAAGGTATTACAAAAGCAATTGATGAGGCATGTTAATCAGACTTGTTCTATATCCCCAGTGATTATCAAAGTTTGATCAAAATGCATTTGTATCATTATTTTGTACTTATGAAGTAGGTTACGTTAAATTATTCTTACACTTTGAGAAAAGGCACAATGTGTAACTTGGTACATTGAACAAAATATCAGATGCGCACACTCACAGATAATAAAGGGAGTGAGGCAGGAATCATGAAAGAAGGAAGGAAAATGGAATGAATGATGGTGGTAGGATGGACATGAGGAAAAAATGACTTCAGAAGGAAGGAAAGAAAGAAGGAAGGAGGGAAAGAAGGACTGAGTAGGCAAAGGAGGAAGGAAGCAAGGAAGGAAGGAAGGAAAGGGAAGGACAGTTTTTTACTTTGGAAAGGAAGCAAGGGAATTTCAAGAGAGTCACAGGATGATTGAGTGAGTGAGTGAGTGAGTGAGTGAGTGAGTGAGTGAGTGAGTGAGTGAGTGAGTGAGGAATAAAGAGCAGAAGTAAATGACTTAGGAAGAAGAAAGAGTGAGTGAGTGAGGAATATGGAAGAAAGATAATGAGTGAGTCGCAGGAAAAAGTATGAAACTGAAAAGTGAAAAAGGGGGGAAGAAAGTGGATCGAATAAGTCAGTCTCTTGGATGCACCATTTTATTTGGACTTCTCTCCATCGTATTTTGACTGGTTCAACATTAGTCCGAAAAGAAAATGACCCTCACAAATTTTTGTGCGCTTGGTCTTGTCCGCGCCTCAGCCCGAGAGCACTTACTTGGGGAGACAGCAGATTGCTCTCCCTCTCGCTCTCAGCCCTCAATGCCGCGAGACCAGGTTATTTATAGCGGCGCCGCGGTGACCATGTGGCATGACGCTGGCCATGGCTAGACACAGACCAGCAAATGATTCTCACAGACGAGGACAAAAGAGTGTGAAAACGCTCAGACAGAAGAGTGGCGACTGTAACACAAAGATGGCCGAAAGCATTACCACTGGAGCCTATCCCTTAGCAAAAAGTAGTTTATTCAAGTATACTTTGAGTCAACTTTTTTTAATACTAAATTGGAGGCAGTATAGTGCACTTTTTAAATTGTATATTTTCTGAACTTCACAGAAGTATGCTTAAGGATACTTGGCTTGTACTGCATTCAAACATATAGTCTCCATCCATACATCCATACATCCATTTTCCGATCCAATTTATCCTGACAAGGGTCGCGGGGGGGTGCTGGAGCCTATCCCAGCTGTCTTCGGGCAGTAGGTGGGGGACACCCTGAACCGGCTGCCAGCCAATCGCAGGGCACACAGAGACGAACAACCATCTACGCTCACACTCACACTTGGGGACAATTTAGAGTGTTCCATTATCCTGCCATGCATGTTTTTGGAATGTGGGAGGAAACCGGAGTACCCAGAGAAAACCCAGGCAGGCATGGGGAGAACATGCAAACTCCACACAGGAAGGGATGGAACACATGACCTCTGCACTGTGAGGTCGACGCACTAACCACTGGACCACTGGGCCGCTCCCTTATAGTATACATTTAAAACTTTGTTTCAATACACAGTGAAACTCCTCTATAACGAAACCTACATGGGCGAAAATACCCGCTAGTGTGAAAAAATTTTCATGCATGGAAGCCATTCCCACTTTTCTGCTCACCTTACAACGAAAAGTCCCCCTGTTCCGTTATATGAAATCTTTTTTTCTGCTCTTGCAACGAGATTCACTACAACGAAAACAAGCCTTCCGCAAAAGTCTAATCCAACCTCAGCATGCCACAGCGACCTCTACTGCTTCGTTAGGAAACGACAACAGCAACCACCACACTGGTTTACACATGCGCAGGAGTACAGGAAGTATTTGTTTCAGACGCAGCGCGAACGTTGCGTTGCTAAAATGGCGACAAAACGGACCTTTGCATACCAGGGAGTTAAGAAAAGAAAAGCTTGAAGACAGGATAAAGGTAATAAAAATGAAAGATGGAGGAAGCAAAATAAAAGACATGCAAGAAATTGATGTAAGTGAAAGTAAATGCTGATCGTAAATTTCACAATTTCTTTCCCTTTTTTTCTTTCCACGCTGGTTATATGAAGTGTCAAAGAAGTGTATGCTCATACTTATGCACTATTGGAATAAAAATAAAAAGTACACATATACTGTTTTTGTGTGTGTTCGTGTTTCCATCTGAGATAAAATTTGCTACAGTGAAAAGTCCCCTGTTGTGAAAAATTTCTTGCTGCAAACATGTTTTCTTTGTAGAGGAGTTTCACTGTAGTATGAAGAAGTACACTTGATATATTCATAGCTGAGTATACTTTATAAACTATACTTCATAAATCTTATTGTTTCGTAAGGGATACGATTTGATTTAGCTAGCTAGTTAGCATTTTAGGTATTTGGCTTGTTTGTAGGTATTTATCTTGTTAGTTCACTAGTTTGTCAGCGTGTTTGTTCGGTAGGGAGTTACCTTCTTAGCAAATAAGTGCTAAGCATGTACTTTGGAAACTCAGAGTGCACTAAAAAACATGGGCTGCATTTGGATATTAATGAGAATAAAGCGTGTTTTGCTTCTTGGAACACACACATTCTCGGCATAGTGCACAGGTGTCAGAGTGAATTTCTGAATGCACTCTTAATTGCCTTGTTAGTTAGCTAGTTACCATTTTTAAGTAGCTTGGTTATTAGTTTGTTTATTAGGTAAGTAGTTAGTTTACAGTTTATCTGACTTTTTTGTTGTCTAGTTAACATTTTAGTTAGTTTGTTTATTAGCTGGCCTGTAAGGAAGGTAACTAGCTTGTTTATCTGGATTGTAACATACATTTTTAAGATTTTATTTTATTTGTTTTTGTAGAGCTCATTCAGGTTGCTGCTTCATGATCCTCTGTTTTAAGCGCTGGCTAATTTCTTGTCATCACTGTGATAATGTGCAACAATTTCTGCCACTTGAAAGTTGATTGACATTTCTGGATTGAGGGACGTAGGCAAATCCAGTAAGGTAAACCATCACTTCTGGCCATAGTCATTAATAAGAGATAAGAGCCAACATGTTATATGCAAATAATTTGTCACAATTTGCCATATTAAGGAACCTTTGCTTTGTTGTTTGTAGCTATTAGCATTTCTTTCAAGATCAAAGCATGAAATGTTGATCAAAGGAGCTTGCGGTCTGATGAAAGGGACAAACAAATGATCTGATGCACACAATGCTGAGTACATGTGAAGGTCGCATGTCCCCAAATAACGGGTTTCTTTACGGCTCATTTCTTGCTGCTCCCTCACAATTAAACTCCATCATTGCACAAATGATGGACGGCCCATTTCAGGGAACATGACACAGCTCAAGAAGAACTCGCCTCCCCCTGAGCGGCTTATTGTGCCGCGATCTCATGGGAGGCGTCCAAAAGCGGCTCATGCTGTCAAAGCCTCTTGCTATCGATGATGCAAATCCACAGATTTGAGGCTCACTGCGAATGGGATCCTCTTATGTAAAAAAATTAATAAAAAAAATTAAAAAACACAACCCCGCCCAATTCAAACGTTTCTTTGAATACAACACATTTTCTGTAACGTTTGTCCTTACGGGTGAGCTGAGGCAAATACCAAGTGTCTTTTGGTGAGCGAGGTGGGGTACACCCTGGATTGTCCATCAGTCAATCGCAGGGCACACAAACATCTATTCATGCTCATGTAGACAGCTATGGACAATTTAGAGTCTACAACGAACCCGACATGCATGTGTGGAGTCTATCCCGGTTGACTTTCACCCTGGCCTGGTCACCACTCAATCATAGGTGATGTAGACCAGTGTTTTTCAACCTTTTTTGAGCCAGGGCACGTTTTTTACATTGGAAAAATTTTGCGGCACACCACTAACCAAAAATGTGATAAAATGACACTCTGAACAGTGTATTTAATTAAAATATAATTTCTCAGTTTATTTATACTCAATCAGTGTGAAACCTGGGGCTGTTTAGATCAGGTTTTTTCAAACTTTTTTGAACTTTTTTTTCATTGAAAAAAATCTCTCGGCACACCACTAGCTGAAAATGTGACCCCCCACTTATTTTACCAACTAACGTGTTATATTGTTACTATAACCGTTTTTAACATTGAAGAATGACGTTATAACAGCTTGAATTGGAATCTAATGAACACAAAGAAAACAGTATTTTATCATCTTTCATATTTATTGTTTCACCGTCGTCCTGCATTCATGCGTCACAAATTCGCGTGTCTCTCGTCGTAACAGGAGGCAATTGGCTAGCTGTTGCCGCTCCCTAGCGGTATGGGAGGGTACTACATAATTATTTTCTGGGCGAAAGACCGCACAGGCATAAAAATTGGATATTTTCCCACGGCACACCTGACAATGTCTCGCGGCACACCAGTGTGCCGTGGCACACCGGTTGAAAAACACTGATGTAGACGAATGACCACTTGCCCTCAGCAGGGGCGTCTTTTGGTGGGGAAGATGAGAGCTATCTGGTGAACACTGTTGAACCCCCCAACATGTGTCAACAAAATATTTTTTGTTGACAAAATATTTTTTGTTGACACATTTTAAAAGTAAAATATCTATCAAATATCTGCTCTGACATCGGTCAGGGCAGACACTAATGGTAAATTGTAAACGGAGTGCAACTTAGATAGTACTTTATCTACACCATATGGTGTCCAAGGCGCTTGACAAAGCCTCACATTCACCCATTCTCACACACAT